TGCTGCCCAGGCTGACCATTCTGAAAATGCTGAGGCTGGTCCCTAGCAGCAGCTTCCATCAGCCCCTTAGTCAGACTGTGTTTACAGAAGTGTGCCCAAAGTAGATACATTGACTACTCATGGTTATTTTTTGTCCTGTAAATAGAGACATTGTTCAAAGCCTTTTTTCCCCTAATATTTAAAACAACACGTTAGATCTTTTAAGTGTTTGTTTGCCAAAGAACTGTGAGTTTTATTGGAGTTTGTTTAAAACTCGGACTAACCTACCGTACTTGTCAAGCTTAAACCCTGAGGGTTACCGTATAAAAATTTAGAACCTACCTAGAGCCCCAGTCTCCTAATGCTGTTACAGGTCTCATTAAAGTTAAAAACAAGATCTATAGCTGCTGCTGTCAGTCACCTGAGAGACCAGGCTGAGGCAGCTCAGCGACCTCCCAAGGAGCCTTTTAATTACTATGTTCAAGTGTGGTTTGCAGTGAACGTGGCGAAGGAGGTGTGTGCTGCTGTGCAGTGAGGCAGAGGCAGGGCGCTCCACGAGCATTTGGGCCGTCCTTTTCCTCCTGGCAACTCCAGAGTGTCATCAGCCTTGCGGGGAGGGGGCTCACCTTAGTGTGGGAAACCAGCCCCAGGGCATACCCCCTTGAGCATTTCCTAGTTAGAAACTTGTGTGGGGCTTCCCAAAGGACCCTTCTGTATACAGATTTCCACTCCGTGGAAGATGATATAATAGGAAGCTTCCAGTTTCCTGTGCAGTTCCTTAGATTCTGTTTGGGATTCACCTGGAAAAAGCAATGTCTACCCTTTGAGTTTCTCCATTTCAACTCCAGTTAGGTAAAGGGGTAGCAAAGCAGGAACATTCACCTTTTGTGTTACCCACCTTTTAATTTTTTGTTGTTTTGATTAATAAAAATAATGTACTCAGTATGAGAATTTGGAAAATGCAGAAAAATAGGAGAAAATTAAGCCTCCCAGCCCGCCACTTGATGCCGTAGTAACAAGCATTTTTGCTCTGCGCAGTCGACCTCGTAACCTGTGTGCAACTTGTATCCTGCGTTTTCCCACTGTAGAAACTCTTGGTCAAATAGTCTTAACTAGAAGCATAGTATTTCCTATTAAAATTTTTTTGTTTTTTTTTTTAAAAAACATTGTTCTTAGTATCTCTTGCCAGGTCAGCTTCAAAAAGATATAATTTGCACCCAATAAAAGTCATCATTTTCAGGTATACAATTTGATGAGTTTTGACATCTGTGTACAGTCATATAACCACCACTATGATCAAGATACAGAACTCCATCACTCCAGAAATTTCCCTCATGCCCCTTTGGAGTCGATCCTCCCCCCAAACCCCAGAAAGATCCCAGCAGCCAGTGATCTTCTTTCTGTCCCTGCAATTTTGCCTTTTCCAGAATGTAATATTCCTGGAATCGTGTGCTAGTTAGTTAGCCTTTTGAGTCTTTCATTTAATTCTTTCATTTAGCAGATGCGTTTGAGATCTGTGGTGTTGCATGTATCCTCAGTTCACTCCTTTTTACTGCTGAGTAGTATTCCACTGTATGCGGCTATCACTATTTAGGTTGTTGCCAGTTTTTGGCAACCAGGAATCAAGCTGCTATGAATGTTGTGTTCAGGTCTTTGTATGAATTAACTTTTCATTTCCTTTGGGTAAATATCTAGGAGTAGAATTGCTGGGTCATATGGTAACTGTATATTTAACTTTATAAGAAACTGATGCACTCGTTTCCAAAGTCGGTTTACCATTTTGGATTTCCCCCAGCAGGATACAGGATTTCCGCTCACTCTGCACCTTCACCAGTACTTGGTATTATATGCACACCCCTTTTGCCTGTTTGTTCAGCATTTCTAATGGGCATGTAGTGGTATCTCATTGTGGCTTTGGTTTTTATTTCCCTAATGGCTAATAAGGTTCTTTTCATGTGATGATTTGCCACCTGGATTTCTTATTTGGTGAAATTCCTTCTCAGAGCTTTTTTCCCTTTTTTCATAGGGTTTATTTTCTGACTGCATTTTTAGAGTTCTTTATAGATTTTGGATACACGTTCTTTTAAGTGTTTTACAAATACATTCTTCTAGATTGGCTTTCCATTCTTTTAAGTGTCTTTTTTGAAGAGTGGAAGGTTTAAATTTTGATGCAGTCTAGTTTATCAGGTTTTTCCCCTTGGATTATGCCTTTAATGTCATTCTAAGAAATTTTTGCATAACTCTCAGTTGGAAATGATTTCTCCTATGATTTCTTCCAGAAGTTTTATAGTTTTAGGTTTTACAATTAAATGTGTAATTCAAGTTAATCTTAGATTAAGGTCCACTGTGGCAGGAGGCAGATGTTCTTAAGTATCTGTTCCCTCCCTCCCTTCCAGTTTCCCTCTGTCACCCACCCAGGCTGGAATTCAGTGGCACAATCTCAGCTCGTTGCAGCCTTGATATCCTGGCCTCAAGTGATCCTCCCACCTCAGTCTCCTGGGTAGCTGGGACCATAGGTGCGTGCCACCACACCTGGCTAATTTTTAAATTTTTTGTAGAGGTGGGGTCTCCATGTGTCACCCAGGCTGTAGTACAGTGGTGCGATCTTGGCTCACTGCAACCTCCGCCTCCCAGGTTGAAGTGATTCTCCTGCCTCGGCTTCCTGAGTAGCTGAGATTACAGGTGCCCACCACCACACCCAACTAATTTTTGCATTTTTAGTAAAGACGAGGTTTCTACATGTTGGTCAGGCTGATCTCAAACTCCTGACCTCATGATCCGCCTACCTCAGCCTACCAAAGTTCTGGGATTACAGGCATGAGCCACTGTGCCTGGCCTAGCTGCTGCTTTTTAAAAACCATGGCTTCTTCCCCACCAGTTTTTAGACTGGCCCTTTGTTGGTCTACAGCTCTCCCTTTCTGGAGGTGGTGAAAAAAGCACTGTTAGTGGCCTTCATTTCCCCTCTGGTCCGGGTCTCCTGTAGATGACTCCTACAGTTCTGGCCCCTCTGTCCACATCAGTGTTGCTCAGCAGCTGCACAGGTAGGCCCTGAAAAGTAGCATCTTCTTGACTGTAGACTGTTGGCTTCCTGGGGACAGCCTTGTGCCAAGTTGGGTCAGCTTACTGATAAGGGGAAAAGACCTAGCATTCATTAAAAACTTACCCAGAAACTTTGCGGTATCACAGAAGTCCTATACAGCGTAAACTAGTACTAGGTCCATCTTTTAGATGAGGCAGTGAGACCTGTTCAAGGTCATCCAGCTAGTAAAATGGTCCACCCTGACTTGCCTCCCTCCTGAACTTTTGCTTATCCCATTATTTCCTGTTAGCGTTTCATGAAGCCACTTTCTGTGTGTTTGATGGCTCGTTGTGCACTCACACACACCCCAGCTAATGGCAGGTGCATATTACAAGTATTGCAGTGCAGTTGCTTTTAGCAGTTTATCTTCCTTTTTCCTCTGAGCTGGATTTAATTCACTTCAGTTCCGCACACTGGGCATTGTAGCTTTTACCTTTAGAATGGCTAATTGGCTACCGCAATATTTCTTTCATATGTGGATTATAAAAGTGCCCTTTATGGATGTTTATTTTCATAAAATTAGGTGTTGTGTCAGGGCGTAACCGGGAAGGCCAGGCTAGTTGCAGGTGTTCATGGGCCCCTTGCAGTACTTCACTGAGCCCTGTGAGTCCTTTTCAGTGGATCATCTGCCCATCCTCACTCTGGGGAGTGGTCTCGCTGTCTTTAGTGGGGGTCCCAAGATGAGCCTGTTCACACCGATGAGACTCAGGGCAGAAAAATTCCTGTTACCCTTTCCTGATCTCATCCTAACTCCCTGGATCTTATCACAATAAAGGATCAAAAGTGGGAATTCTCATGTTAGCTGAAATTCTCTTCGTGCTTTTCTTGTCTTTAGACCTTGTTATCTTTAGGCATCCTTGTTATTGATGATAACCACTCTGAACTGAGTGTTATGATTCCCTAGTTTGTAAGACACTACATCCCCTTCATCTTTAAAAGTTATTTCCCATTGGAGGTATCATCAAAGACTTCTCTCCCTTTTTGAAATCTTGGTGTTAGCAGCTAGAAGAGAGACTGCCAGTTTTCCCTGCTAGCCCTACTTTAGGACATCATGCATGGCACCACTTGTGCAGCTGACACCTGGTCGGCTTTCCATTATGAACACACCCTTTCCTGACTTCCCTCACATTCGCTGAAGTCCAGATCCCAACTCAGTTGCTGGCCACAGCTTCTGCTATTGTAGAAAGTGGCGTGAATGAAGAAGAAGGGCTTCTAACCTTAGAGTGAAACTTTGTCACTGAAGAGATTTTTTCAATCCAAAAAGAGGACCCAGACAGCTTTGCTAAAGTTGGAAAAAGCTGCAACCTTCTTTTGCCCCTTCTGAGATCTTGGAACCCCCACTAGTTAGCTTCCCTCTGCCCTATAGCTGCCCACCTGAGATTTCTCACCTAGGCACAGCCACAGCACAGCACACAGAAACTCAGTTTCTGGGGACTTTGGCATGGATCTTGGTGCTTTGGGAGGATTCAAACACCATCTCAGCCGCTTGCTAACTCTTTGCATCTGGTCCTATTACTCCACTTCTCAGTCTGTTCTTGCATCTGTAAAACGAGGATAGTGATACCACATTGGTCGACTTTAATGAAGATTATATGAATTAAGTGCCCACTGTGGTGCCAAGAATCCAGCATGGTGCTCAGGGAAGGATACTTTGCATGGCTACAGTTTAACTCCTGTGAGATCAATAGATGGATGCAGGAGGCGGGGAGGTGCTTCCTCTGCCCCCCTGTGATGTTTCTGTGGTCTCACCTTCCCTTGCTGGGCACTGCTCTCCCTAGACAAGACCTGTCTTTGGACTCTTGCCAGCGTGGCTGTGCAGCCAGACCCCGCCCTGTCTGAAGCCATCTCTGCAGCCGTCACAGGCCTCTGTCTCTGCTGGTCATGTCACGTTCTCCTCAAGGTGCCATCCTGATGTTCACGTTGTTTCGTTCTTTCCCACCAGGAAGCATCTCCATGAACAGCCCTGCCACGCTCTTTGAAGTTCCTGACACGTGGTAACCAAGACCTGAGGGCAGCAAACCACTGGTGCTGTCGCCCTGAGCAAGAGCCGGCTGGCACATTTGGAAGCCATACTATATTTAACCTAATAAAATGTGGTATGGGAGGGGTTGGAAACCAAGCTGTCTCCTGGAAAAAACAAAAAACAGGTTTTATTTTTGTGGCTGTGGTTTTTTTTTTTGTTTGTTTTTTCCTTTTTAATCTAACTGCCTGTTGACGTTGACATTCATCATGGTTGTAGGCTGTCATGAATGTGTACGTGCTTAACCAGTGAATTCCGTGTTGCTCCTGTGAGGCCTTTCCTATTATGACCCAGTGTGCTTAAGAACCCACCTGATGGGGAATGTTGGCTGTGAAATCTGCAGAAAGAGCTGACGTCCTGACGTGATCATGAATTTGGGGGTGTCCTCCTGCCTGTGTGTCTTCTTGCGCTCAGATTTTGAGGCGGTTGCAGCCCTCGGTTAGTCCCCCAGTGGAGAAATGGGTTGTACCTCCCTGCTTCCCTCCATAGCTGCCTGAAAATACGACGCTCTCATGCTTGTCGTCCACTCACACCGACCCATGAGGGAGCTTGCCCTATGCCCTGGTCTTTGGGCATATTTATGTAGAGTTCCTTTCTCCCAAGACATGAGTTTCATGGGGGATGTACGAGTAAAAAGGTTAACTTCTGTTCTTACACGTGGCGCCGTGTTCACTTTCCAGAGTCTCTGTTCATTTGTTTGGGTGGTGGTCTGGGGGTACAGCGGTGTGTGTGCATGTGTGTGTGTGTGCTTGTGTGTGTGTGTGTGTGTGTGCTTGTGTGTGTGTGAAATCATGCAAATCTACAACATGTCCCAGTTCATTCTCTGTTGAAACAGATCACAGCAATGACAAACGCTCATGGAGCTGCTTTGCTACACCCGCTTTAGATAGATCATTGTTAGATATTTAACATTTTTGTATGGTGAAAATAAAAATGAAAAATGTATTTCCAAAAGATGACAATTAAAGACATTTTCATATGACTCTGGTTTTCTCCTCTCTAAGTGAAGGATGTTTTCACTCTCTAGTAATACATAAATTTCTCACCCCTGAAGAAATCTGCTAAGCCACTAAGGCTGATGTTGATGGATTTTTTTTTCTTTTTTTTTCTTACGTTTTACCCGATTCCTGTTCCTGCCGTGATGGGTCAGCTCCTCAGCGCTGAGCTGAGTCCTGGTGGTGAGTGGCCTCGCAGGAGGGCAGGAGAAATGAGGACCCTTAATGCTTACGCTGGAATCCCAGGGTGTTATGCAGATGCTGATTTGTAAGACAGTCTCCCCCATCAAGAGCCTCTTGGTGGGATGCGGTGGCTCACACCTATAATCCTCCCACTATGAGACCAAGACGGGAGGATCACTTGAGCCCAGTGTGGGCAATACAATGAGACTCTGTCTCTTAAAAAAAAAGACAAAAAAACTTTTTTTTTTACAGCATCTTAATGACTTCTCTTCCCCTTCCTGCTCCTCTCCCTTCCCCAGGAGTCTCGTAGCCACAAAGTGAGTAACCTAGGCTCAGCAGGAGGGACTGCTCACTCCTCCTAGGGCACTCAGTGCCCACAGCTCAGTGGAAAGTGGAGGTGGGATGGAGACAGGCAGTAAAGAACGGTATACGCAGGAGTGTTTGCAGGACGGCTGCTGGGCTGCTGAATCAGCAGCACTCACGCAGAAATGAGTGACCCTAATTTTTGAAAGAAAAAGAGGGGGCCCAGTGCAGTGGCTCAAGCTTAGAATCTCAACACATCGGGAGGCCAAGGCAGGAGGATCACATGAACCCAGGAGTTCAAGATGAGCCTGAGCAACATAGGGAGACCCCATCTCTACAAAAATTGGCTAGGCGTAGTGGCACACGCCTGTAATCCCAGCTGCTCAGGAGGCTAAAGTGGGAGGATTACTTGAGCCTGGGAGGTGGAGGCTGCAGCAAGCTGTGATCACACCACTGCACTCCGGCTGTGGCAACAGAGTGAAACCCTGTCTCTTAGATAATAAGTAAAAGAAAAAGAGGGAAAACCAGACGGTAGGTTGTACACATAGGAGAGAAGTGCGTAAGGCCTGATGAGCACACCCTGTGTGGTAAAGCAGAGCCTGTGGTGGGGCCGACAGACCTCTTGTGCCCTGCATGTGTCTTGCGTGGGAGATGGAAGCCTCTTGCCCTAAGATAACAAAATCTTAATTGTACCCTGAGACCAACTGAGGAATAAACATGGTGTTCCGGCTCAGAAAGCTTTACAAACGCAGGTTGTGCACCTGCCACTAGAGGTGCCTAGGGAGGAGAGATTTCTAGAAAGGGTGTGTGTTTCCAAGCTTCCTGGGACTGTTGGCATCCAGTTGCCACACTGCTTTCTTGGACATGTTTTATACCATCTGAGCCTCAGTTTCCTCCATCATAAAATCAGGAAAATAGGCCAGGCGCAGTGACACGCCTGTAATCCCAGCACTTTGGGAGGCCGAGGCAGGCAGATCACTTGAGGTCAGGAGCTGGAGACCAGCCTGGCCAACATGGTGAAACCCTGTATCTACTAAAAACCCAAAATTAGCTGGGCTTGGTGGCGCATGCCTGTGGTCCCAGGTACTTGGGAGTCTGAGGCAAGAGTATCTCTTGAACTCCGGAGGTATAGGTTGCAGTGAGCCAAGATTGTGCTTCTATACTGCAGCCTGGGCAACAGAGCAAGAATCTGTCTCAAAAATTAAAGCAGGAAAATAAACTACTTCACAGGGTAGTTGTGAGGGTTAAATTACATAAAATGCCTAGCATGCACAAGTACACAGTAAATTGCAGTTATATATAAAGATTATGCTTTTGATCTGAAACCTTTATTGCATTTGCCTCTCTCAATGGGAGCAGAGATAGTCACTGGAATTTGACTTAGAATTAAACACTCAGGGGAACTTTCATACAGGCCCACACCTTTATTTTCTCTGCTTCATCAAATGACTTAACAACAGGTGAGCTGCAGCTGACGCCTGCAATCTGCCACTTGGGAAGCAGAGGCAGGTGGGTCACTAGAGCCAGGAGTTCAGGACCAGCTTGGGCAACATGGCAAAACCCCGTGTCTACAGAAAATTTAAAAACTGGCCGGGTATGGTGGTGTTCGTCTTTTGTCCCAGCTACTGGGGAGGCTGAAGCAGGAGAAATGCTGGAGCCAAGGAGGTTGAAGCTGCAGTGAGTTGTGATTGCACCACTATGCTCCAGCCTGGGTAACAGAGAAAGATCGTGTCTCAAAAACAAAACAGGTGAGCTGGGCTAGCTCACTTCCCGCTTCACACACACATACCAGGATTTCTTGACATAACTTTTGGGCTTAAAAGCCTAGGATGGTAGTGCTGGCCTTTTGATACTGAGGCCCAGGGGCATATTATGACAACAAGGCGATGGTTTGGGGGGCTTCTTGAATATGGTAGCTAGATCTGGAGGAGGTGTCAGAGTGCGAACTTCTGTGTTTCCCTGCAGATCGTTCTGTTGTCCTTTGATTTTGGAGCTGGGCTGGAGACCAAGCACTATAGCTCTGTCCATTTCCATAGCTTTGTATTTGTCCAGTTTTCCCCCCCAGATTGTATCATGAAGATTTTCAGGCATACAAAGAAGCTGGTAGAACACCTATTGCCTCACCACCTAGGTCATAGTTACCATGTAGCTATACAGTCATGCCTTGCCGTCAACAATGGAGGGCCCAGAAGCTGATCTTAGAGCTGGGAAATTCCTATCACTTCCAGTGTATCTGTATTTTAACATAAGTGTTGTTACAAAGGGGTCAAATAGTTGAACAAAAATTTAGAAGTTTATTAAGTAAAGAAGTTTCAGTAAGCTAAGGTCATTTTATTTTTGAAAGGAACATTTTTTATACATTCAAGGTAACAGTGAGTCCCAGGCCTTCACATTCACTCTCTACTCACTCACCAGAACACCTTCCAGCACTGCAAGCTCCATTCATGGTAAGTGCCCTAACAGGTATACCATTTATATTTTTTAAACTGTATTTTTACTATAGTTTTTCTGTGTTTAGATAAAAAAAAAATACCATTGTGTTGCAGTTGCCAACAGTACTCCGTACAGTAATCTGTTGTAAAGATTTGTAGACCAGGAGCAAAGAACACTCTATGATGTTCATACAATGAAAACATTGCAGGCTGGGCATGGTGGCTCACACCTGTAATCCCAGTGTTTTGGGAGGCCAAGGCAGGAGGACTGCTTGAACTCAGGAGTTCGAGTCTTCAGTGAGCTATGACTATGTCCAGCCTGCGGGACAGAGCAGGATTCTGTCTTTAAAAATAAAATAAAAATCCTTGTGTTTGTGTTGGGAATATTAAATTTTTTAAAAATCACCTAATGATGCGTTTCTCAGAATGTATGCCCGTCATTAAATGACACATGACGATATTCGCTTTATTATATATTCTTCCATTTATCAATTTATCTTTTCTTTTTTTCTTCCTTTTTTTGTGTGTGTGTTTTGTTTAGAGACAGTCTCACTCTTGCCCAGGCTGGAGTGCAGTGGCGCGATCATAGCTCACTGTAGCCTCGAACTCCTTGTCTCAAGCAATCCTCCCACCTCGGCCTCCCAAAGTGCTGGAATGACAGGTGTGAGCCACAGCACCCAGCCTACACAATGTTTTTGAGATTCATCCATGCTGCGTATGTATCAGAATTTCCTTCCTCTTTATTTCCGAGAATGGCCCTACCACTGCTTATTTATTCAATTGACGAACACCTGCACTATTTCCAGGTTGGGGCTATTATGAATAAAGCTGCTGTGAACAGTCTTGTACAAGTCTTTGAGAACAAAATCTTTAATTTGGGGGAGTAAATGCCAAGGAGTGGAACTGTTGGGTCATGGGATACGTGGTCTATTTAGAAATTGCCAGATCTTTTTCCAAAGTGATCACATCATTTGTACTGTCACCAACAATGTATAAGAGTTCTAGTATCACTCTTCCTTAGCAGCATTTGGTGGTATCAGCCTTTAATTGAGCTATTTTGATGGGTTTATAGTATATCTCGTTGCAGTTTTCATTGTCGTTTATCTGATGACTCATAATGATGTACCTACTGGCCAGAGATATATCTTCCTTTGTGAGTTATCTGTTCAATTATCTTGCCCTTATTTTATCAGGTCATTGGTCTCTTTATTAAGTTGTATAGGTTGGCCTGGCATGGTGGCTTGTGCTGTAATCCCAGCACTTTGGGAGGCAGAAGTGGGTGGATCATTTGAGGTCAGGAGTGATCAACTGATTCGCCAGGTTCACCGTCACCTGGCCAACATGGTGAAACACTGTCTGTACTAAAAATACAAAAGTTAGCTGGGTGTGTTGGTAGGCGCCTTTGCCTGTAATCCCAGCTATTTGGGAGGCTGAGGCAGGAGAATCACTTGAACCTGAGAGGCGGAGGTTGCAGTGAGCTGAGATCGTGCCACTGCACTCCAGCCTGGGTGACAGAGCAAGACTCCATCTCAAAAAAAAAAAAGGTATAGAAGTTGAATACATATTCTGGACATCAGTCCTTTGTCAGATAGTTGTTTTGCAAATATTTAGTCCCAGTGTGTGGCTTCCTTATTTTCTTAACAGTATCTTTTGCTGGGCAGAAGTTTTTAATTACAATGAAGTCTATTTTATAGATTTGTTTTCTATGTCCTGCCTAAGAAATTCCCCAGTTATATTCATCCATGTTTTCTCCGAGCTTCCTAATTTTAGCATTTATGTTTAAATCTCTGATCCATCTTGAATTAACCTTTTTTTTTTTTTGAGACGAAGTCTCGCTCTGTCACCAGGTTGGAGTGCAGTGGCGTGATCTTGGCTCAGTACAACCTCTGCCTCCGGGTTTAAGCAATTCTCCTGCCTCAGCCTCCCGAGTAGCTGGGATTACAGGCACCTGCCACCACGCCCGGCTAATTTTTGTATTTTTAGTAGAGATGGGGTTTTATCATGTTGGCCAGGATGGGCTTGATCTCTTAACCTTGTGATCTGCCCTCCTTGGCCCCCCAAAGTGT